TATTATCTGACATGGGTCTACTAGGGACATTATTTAAAAAATAGAACTGTGTAAGCATAGAATAAATACTATTATCTGACATGGGTCTACTCGGGACATTATATAAAAAAAATAGAACTGTGTATGCATAGAATAAATACTTACAGACAAATTACTATCTTCTTTTTTCTTTTTCTTCTTAATAGTTTTCTTTGGAGGAATCTTATTATCAGATTCTGAGGATAACAGAAAACAATAGCAGTAGAAAATAAAAACAAAAAAGGTATTGAATTCATGAAATAATTGTATAGGAAACAGTATTAAACTGTTCTGTTTATTAACAGGCCATACCCCCCTCCCAAAAAAATGGAATCATGCAGTGTATGTACGGGTGGTTGATTTATATGTACACATTTTGTTCTTGACCTTTTTGAGAAAAAATATTATAGCTCAACAAACTAATGTGCTACAATTCTAATTAAATACATCTTATTCATGGTGCATAATACAAAATAGTAACATCACTTTTATAGATTTGCAATAGTAGGTTCTGAAGATATTCAGTAGAACAGCTAAAATATTTATCCCAGAAAATGTATGTATTTAAATCTGTGGAATGGTTGTCAAGATATAATAATAATAATAATAACAATAATAATAATAACAATAATAATAATAACAATAATAATAATAATAATAATAATAATAATAATAATAATAATAATAATAATAATACTAATAATAATAATCCATGACAGACAATCCATGAAGAAATGTAATTCATCTTTAGTTTCATTTTGAGAACAGTTTATGTAAGTTCTATTTTCAATTGGAATTGGAATGATATTGAAAGTAGTATATTCAACTTACCCATGCTAGTAACACTTCCATTAAAACTATGTCTTCTACTTTCAGTTAATTGGCTTAAAAATCCACCTGAATTGAAAATATAAGAAATGATAGTACCAGATACTTTGATAAATTTCTAAATATGATAATAAAAGAATTGGTTCTCACCTTTTGATATATTCATTGGTTTTCCTGTCATATTATCTTTCTGTCCTCGCAAAGCAAAACATACATTCAGATTCATTTCATAACCATCTTCATGAACTGTTGCTGATATTATCTGGTTAATTGCAAAATACACAATCAAATTATACATTAATCAAGAAAAATCTCATATAACAAGTCATTGAAAATGACATACCGGTAGTCCCTGGTGGTGTTATTTCAAATTGATCACTTATGAGCTAAACACCAGACATCCCCCCAAATAAGATGAATTATGACATTATATCCTGGCATTGTATTCATAAAATACAATGACATTTATGTGTACACACATGGTAATCATGACATACATACCTTTCCAATCTTGGGTTCACCAATTGATGCTCTAAATTCTTGATGATTCTGAGCATGTGCTTTCATATGAGAACATATATGCTCCATCTGTTGTCTCCAGTAACCTAACAATCAATTATGAGAGATATAATATTTGAATATCATGGTTCGCAATCAAGGTTGAGAGATATAATATCTGAATATCATGGCTTGCAATCAAGGTTGAGAGATATTATATCTGAATATCATGGCTCGCAATCAAGGTTGAGAGATATTATATCTGAATATCAAGGTTCGCAGTCAAGGTTGAGAGATATTATATCTGAATATCATGGCTCACAATCAAGATTGAGAGATGTTATATCTGAATATCATGGCTCGCAATCAAGGTAGAGAGATATTATATCTGAATATCATGGCACACAATCAAGGTTGAGAGATATTATATCTGAATATCATGGCTCGCAATCAAGGTTGAGAGATATTATATCTGAATATCATGGCTCGCAATCAAGGTTGTCTGAATAGAGCTATTTAAGGTAGAGAGGCAGTTTATTTGTGAATTTCAATCAAAAATAGTTTTTTTCGTTTTTTATATAGATTTTTATCTAAAGAACATTCTGTGAAAATTTGACCAATGAATTCTTATTGGAACACCGTTAAAATACCTGTTTATTTTCTGGTTTAAAATAAAAAACACTCACACGTGGCAATGTTTATGTCCAATTGCCTAATTTGCATGAGTAACCAAATAACAGGACCTTTGATTGACAATATGCAAATCGAGATTGTACGGGTCATAGTTCATTCAATTACGCGCATGTGCAATTAATCTTAAAGGGGAACAACTCAATCCCATGGATTGCACCAAAGAATCATGGGACACTATTGTTTATGTTGTTTACAATGTTAATCTATCTTTTGTTATCCATTGTTATTTTAATCCAGAAAGTAAATTTGTTGTGAAATTAATCTTAACTGGAAGGTGCCCCTTTAAATCAGTTCTCGCTCGCTAGCAAACCAAACATTATATTTCCTCAGCGTTTTTTCCTAATTTTTATCATTACATTATGCGTGGTGTGAAAAGAAAGAGAGGTAGAAAGAAGATTCAGATGATTTCTATGTCGGAAGAGGCAAAAGCTACACTGAAGGCATCAGCCCACCGAACGAAAAACAAAATCGATGTGAGCGTCCAAACATGACTTTCCTTGAAGGCATGAATCCGAGTTTCTGATTGACTGAGAGATTTTATTTTTAAATAATTGTTCTCAAAAAATAAACTGAGCATGTGAAGAATAATTTAACATTGTTTACAGTGATAACTGCTCATTGTCGAAACGAAGCTTACCCATT